AGTTCATTCACTTATATGACTAACTTAGCTGCAATCAGACCCTATGTCACACATCCAAGTACTAGAACCAGCCCCTAATTAAAGAAAGGAAGAACCACAACCGGTTGTGTTCACTTACATTGTTTTTTTGAGGTTGCTCATTGACCCAAGTCCCATTTTTCCTCTTATGTGTATCGGCATAAACTCTGATTTCCTTGGGCTCTACCTCAGCTTCATCAGATTCATTATCATTGTTCTCCGTATCAGCCTCACTGCTTGCTTCATCGGTTGTTTCCTAATAACAGCCCAGATTATAGAATGTTAGTAAGGTGCATTCTGGTATTGGAGTATAATGGAGGAGAAACCTTACCATTTCATACATTCGTTGGCTGCATGATTTGCCACCTGTAGTATGAGCAAAAGTCTGCATGCTTTTATTGCGCTTATTAGCAGCACTTTGCCTCTGCATCGGCGTATAAGACAACATTCATTAGCACCTTATCCATATCTAACCTAGGATAACAGAACTGCCTAATTAAATGCTTATCAGACTCAATCTATTCTTCATGGCAGATGGCTTACCTTGAACCTATCAGACTCAAAATGCTCACACAGCTTTATCCACTCCTCCATCTTCACATTTTCAGGAGGGGTCTGTCTAGCATCAGCTCCTAATGCCATATAATGCTTATGACAATGATACTTGAAGTTAATGAACCTCTTAGACAGTGAATAATCCACAGCCAACCTCATAGCTTCATTAGTCATTGAGATATCAAACTCACTCTGCAGTCGTGAAAGTATGTTAGTGTGTGAAAAGTGAAGGATACTGACCAGCAAGCATGCAAATACAGGTATATTATTTGTTTTACCTCTAATTTGGCAAAAAGTGGTTGCTTTAGCTCCTCGGTCACATCTGACCAATAGAACATGCCAATAGAACGTGCCACCTCATGTCCTTGGCAATGTCCTTTGTCATGAACAGCCTAAGTAGCCTATCCTTTATAGGGAAATACCTAGCTGTTTTAATGGGAATATCCTTCCCTTTGCCTGGTTTATACCTAGATTTCTTACACTTGGGACACGTCTTTTCATTCTGGAGAGGACCTCGGAATAAGACACAGTTGTTAGGACATGCATCTATAATGGTATAACCAAACCCGAGGTCATGAATGTACCTCTTCACCTCATAATACGAATTAGGGAGATTCTCTCCATTTGGTAAAGCTTCCTTGATTAGATCCAAATTGAGGTTAAATGCTTTATCGCTACTATTGGTTAACATTTTGTTATTCATCATTTTCATAATGAAGGATAACTTTGAAAATTTCTTACACCCCGGATAAAGAGGACATTTAGCATCTTTTAGTAGTTTAGCTAAGGTTGGATCCAGATTCACTCCCCCAAAACCCTCATTCATAGATTCAGAACCTGATGTACCAAACCTAGCAGCATTAGCTCGACTCAAATCATTCAACATGGAAGGCATTTCAATGTCAAAACCATGCATATCATTCTGACCAGTGTCCTCTAAACTATCAGTTGCCACGCTACCACCAATATCAGAATCCTCTCCATGATATATCCACAAACTGTAATCCTCTACCATCCCATTGAGGAACAAGTCAGCTTTCACAAGATCTATTGTTTTAAAGCAACAATTGTTGCATTTTCTGCACGGGCACCTAATTCTACCACTACCATCAGCACATGCTTTGGCAACCCCTAGAAAGTACTCAACACCCTTCACATAATTAGCAGAAAATCGATTCTTCTGCTTCAGCCAACCTCTATCCATTTAGTCTGTGTGCATAAATTAGGCTAACCTGTGCCTTGGGACGATTCTTGGATCACAAAATGCAGGTTGACCTTATAACTTCACTTGAGCAAGCACCTGCAAAATGAAAACAAGAGAATAAATCTCAAATGTTCCCCTAAGGATGTCGAAATATCAATAGCAAATCAATCACAACACCGAAACAATCAAACCTTCTCTAACAGGGTCGTCGCAGTGAACAGAACCAAACACACCAGAACCATAACAACAAGATCCCGTTTTCCCCAATTATTTACAGGACACTCAAACTTATCCCATGCCTATATGTAGCAACTAGATTATCCAAATCAACCTAATCATTTCCATCTCCATTCTTAAAACAGAATGTCTATCTAACACTGTCCTCAAGTCGAAAGATGTTGTAATAACACCAGAGTGGACATGACATGGGCAGAGATCTGTTCTGGTTACTGCTGCATTACATTACTCGTTAATGTGAGAAACTTAACTACTCAAACCAAGCTTGGAAATCTCCATCAGGACACACATCAAACACTTGCAAGCCTTATACAAATTGCATATGAAGCGATAAGAAGACCAAACAGACACGACTTCCATGCATGGTATACCGCGAAGCACAAGGTTTCATTATCAATTCATAAGATCACTTAGCAAACAAATGCATATCATTGAAGAAGATATATTCACAGTCGGGTCCTTATGATAGCTTTCCACGGAAACTAATTGATATTGAAGAAGATAAGATGTCACTTTCTTCAAACATGCCCAATCTATTGCTTCCATGTTTCACTTTCCAATTTCCATTAACACTAGATTTTTTCTACAAAAGACCAAGACAAAGGTAGTTTCTCTTCATTAAACACTTGTCAACAGTCGGAGTATATCCAGCTAGCAACCATGGAAGAGTAAAAGTAAAATCAAGAAAGCTTCACCGGATCTGAATTCCCAACTTCCCAAAATTACATAGACCTCGTAAGAATCCATCTACAAAAGTCATCATTCCACAAGATCCTACCATCAATTGAATAGTTCATCCACAAAACCGGACGAAGAATTTCATTCAGATTAAAACGCTAACTTTGCTCAACCACCACGGGCAATCAGATTCGAAAGGGGCAAAAGAGAATCAGCTTCCCTGCTCTAAAGATGACAAATCCGAGCTGATCTCGGGAAAATCTAGCCCTCCAATCAATCCAAATCGTTAGCAATTCTCGATACAAACAAAGCCTATCTACAAAACACCTTAATCCTCACAAGGATAAGGCCATCGGGTATTGCACAAATGCAGATATATACAAACAATCACCAGCTCTTATCAAATGAAACTCGAATCTGGCTTCCTACGCCATCCAAGCCGCTCGATTATCGGAGGCAATTTGACGAATTCCGGGCGTGAGAGAATTGGGGAAAACGGGAAGTACAGGACGAGAGATCGATGCATGTCCTAACAAATGCAGATATATACAAACAATCAACCAAATCCCCAACAAAATCGTCTCACAATCGGCAAACCATAAACTCCCCCAAAAAATCCCCAATGAAAGTTTCTCTCAATCGTCTAAAAACGATGCGACAGAAGTGGAAGAGGGTGATCGAAGAGAGTACAGTCGTCTTACTCGATTATGACGCGATGCGCTTGCTCGCTGCTGCGGGGAGGATTCGATGCGACTGCGAAGACAGACCAATTGACAGAGGGTTTTTTGAGCGGCGAAATTTGGGAGTGGATCTGGTTTTGGAGCGCTGGAGGGAATTAGGTCCCGCGCCCTATGTCCTCTCTCTCTCTCTCTCTCACTTTGATTATCTCGACATAAAATGGAAAAGAATAAAAGCACCCCTGTTTTGACTAATCAAACTTTGTCACATTACCAAAATTATGTTACTTGAAATAAAGTACGAGAACAATATTGTGACAAACTTATAATTACATACACTATTTGTCATAATAAATATGTAATATGAAAAAATATTATGACATCATATAACTTCGTCACAATATGGGTCTAATATGACAAATTAGTATGACAAAATGTTTCTTTGTCACAAAAACAAAACTAATATGACAAATTTTAGTTCTGTCATATTATAGGTTCTATTGTGACAAACCTAAAATGACAAATTAAAATTTCGTCAGGACATCCCAAAATTGTTGTAGTGCGGCTATCAAACTTAAGCCAATTACCGAAAGGGGAATGGCCTCTCCTAGGAGGGAAAAGGCTAGTTGATCCCAAAAATAACATTCACCAATACTCCATATCTTCATGACGTGCAACGGGATGGACTATCAAGATACAATTTCACCTGTAGCTAATTGTGGTATGCTTTGATAAACTTTTGGTATGTTTTAATGAACTTGTGATATGATTTTAGAATCTTGTGATATATATGCTTACCCTTCCCCCTTTATATTTTACATTGCTTTCATGCAGGTTCACATAAAATTGATGAAAAATTATATTTTAGAACATAAAAAAAAATTTCTCACATTTTGATACTTAGCTATTTAATTTACAAATAGATCGGCTGTTAAGAAACTTCTGATATATTTTGAGAAACTTGTGGTGTGTTTCATAGGGTTCTAGTATACTTCATGGAACTTGTGATCTACTTTAAGAAACTTGTTTTAATAAATTTGTAGTATGCTTTATGAGGCTTGTTGTCCGCTTTAATAAATTTGTGGTGTGCTTTATTGGACTTATGGTGTATTTCATAATCTTGTGATTTGCTTCAAGGAAGTAGTGAATGTGATATGCTTTTATAAACGCGTGGTGTGGAGAGGTTGTAGTCTCCTTTCTAAGGGTTGTGGTCTAGATTTTGTGGTATGTGTTCTTGTGTTTGTGGTGCATGAATTTTTTTTATCCCCACATATCCCACCATAAAATTGCACAATACACGTTGGTCCCGCTTCCCCTCTCACAATTTTTCATAATGCCAAATGTGACCCTATGCCCCAGTGCCTTTATTAATTGTGATCAACTCATTGAAATTTAAACGTCATCAAAACGAAATGTTCCTATTAACCGGAGCAATAGTGTTAGCATTCTATATATATATATAATACTGAACTATATATACTATTGGTGAAATAAAATGAGAATAGTTTCCTCTTCTCATAGTAAACAGCAAGCTGTAGTGCAGACTCCTCATACCAAGAAGCCACCAAAGTCATCACTAGAGTGCATCATCATCATTTGCATGAAATTACTGCTACTGTTGCAGGGTGTCATCATGACGTCCCAACCCAGTTGAAAAACTCTTGATCGAAGTCGATATCAACAAGAGAGGACAACATATCGTAATCGTCCTCGCCTCCAGAGGACGCTGCTGCCGGTAGGTTTCCTGTTTGAGGATGACACATGGCGACGTCGCCCAACGATTCATGTTGTTGCTTCGCTACTGGAGCAGATGGTGCAGAGAATGAGGTAAGAAAAGGGGTAATGTTGTTGTTGATGTTGTTGAAGCTGATAAGGTGGGAGCTGCCGGAATCATCGACTGGATCCACCTGGAAGTTTTGGTCATAAGAAGATGGGTGGAGGGTACGGAAGTGATTGTTGCAAGTGTGGTGGGCAGAGTAGGTGGTTCGATAGATCGAGTTGGGTTTGTCCTGGATCATTTGGACTTGCTTGGTGGCTGGACACTTGTACTCCAACTTGTGAGTGCACCTGTAGTAGTGCCTAGAGAACTCCGACTTCAGGATCGTCTTCTGCCCGTACTTCCTCCACGCGTATCCGTCGTCTACCAGGGTTGGACTCTCTTTTATCCATGATTGTTGAGATGGAGCTGTCTTCCTGCAAATCGTCAATTTGAAGACGATAAACGTACGGGTAAGTAAAAGAGGATTTTTTATTAGTTATTTTCTTCTTCATATAATTAATATAACGTTCATCATAAATAAAATGTGCATCTTATTTTTACTAGTAAAGTGACAGACAAAATAAAAAGAATATATTTTGATGAATTGAATAAAATCGAGAGAAAAAAATCTGTCTAATTTCACACAATTTCTTTATAGCATAATCTCCGTCACTGCAATGGCCAATTTTAGAAACAGATATCTTAGTGTTTTGTCAATAATTACATAAAGTATTATTGGGGCATAACTCAGTTCGATTCATATCACAAAAATTAGAGTCGACAACCAATAAAATGTTGGCTTGAATGATAAAATATGGAGGTTAGAGCATGACGTACACTCAAATTTTGATTCTTACAACTTATCAATATGAAAAAGTAGTTTTTGGTGACCACTGACAAGACTGTATAGCTAGATCACTTAGTCTCGTTAATTAATTTTTAGACTATGAAAATCAACAGAATCACGTCACATGCTTTCAAAATATAAATGCTATTATACATGCAGATTAACGATCTATAGATCAAGTGTAGGAGTGAACAAAAATAAGCCTAGTCGACCCACCCGCCAAATCTAATCCAACCCACTTGTATTTGGGTGAGGGTTTTATACATGCAGATTACATACCCAATCCAATCCGCAATGTAATTATATAGAGAGAATTATGATATTATGTAATATTTTTTCTCGTGTTCTCTCTAACATAATGCATTCTTCAAATACAAATCACAAAATATTAGCTGTGACGAGTGAGCAAAACTGTCGTTATAAGCCATAAAACATTCGGCATAAGTCATTATCGACATGACAAATCCCTCTAGTATTGGATTTGCCATTCTAATTTTTCTAAGATAACAGTTAAATATGTTGATTTTTATAATTAGGTGCTATTGAGGGGATCCGAGCACGGGACCTCCAGATTTTGGACTAGTAGTATTATCACTAGGCCATACCCTTGCCGTTATAAAACTTAGACTTACATGTAATATTGTAATATATGCTATGATTCTCGTTATTGTTTGTTTATAAAATTCTAGGAAAAAATATATTTTATGGATGTGTTAGCTTATAATGAATAACGTTTTTACCTTATTTTGGTAAATATTTATGGATTATATTATATACAAGACATATGCTAAAGCAAATTGTACTTCGTCAAGATTCAAGCAACAACTTATATGCATTTTGACGTTTTCACTTTGGTTTATTTGCTTAAATATTTAATTATATAAAAAATTTAGTGTTGGTTGGATTTTACTTAAATGTATAACCCACCTGACTCAATCCAATCATAAAAAATTATAGGTTTCTTTTTTTTTATAAATAATTTAACATTTTCAAAATCAAAATATATGAGTGTAATGATTAAAATAACTAAACCTTAATCATCCGACCTGTATACCTTTATTTTTTTGGAGTGATGTATACCTCTATTCAACTGTACCAAAATGCTCTATGTAAAAATAAAAAAATTGTGATATTACAAGGTATTTATTTAATTTTTTTACTAGTTCATATATAAAATGAATTTACATTTTGGACTACATGGAAAGAGGAAGCAGGGAAGGAAGTGAGTGACACAGGAGGAAGAAGAGCGCGTGAATGACGACGTCGAGGGCGGAAGCTGACGGAGGACTGCCCATGTCATTGTTGGACGTCAGAAGGCTTACGTCATCCAAGGGAGCTTTCGAGGTTTGCCCCCTTGGGTTGTTATTAAACTAATTGTCAAACAAAAATAATTATTCAACCAAACAAAGACAATTATGGATCGTGACTCGAGAGAGAGAGAGAGAGAGAGAGAGAGAGCCCGTCTAAATCTAAATCAGTAAATCTAAATTGAATAGGTGGTGGACTGGTCCGATCAGATCTAGGCCGTCGCGCTTAGGTAGTGGGGTGTTGTGGAAAATTTGAGTCTACTTCACCACAAAGGCGCTTAGGAACATCGAAATCACAAGAGTCTGATAAAATTTGGATTAATATATTTGTATATCTAAACTTTGACCAAATAAACATCCAGACTAATTCTTTCATCTATAATATCCTGGCCCAAATTATACATCAAAATAGCTAAATTGATCAAACCCGACGTTTGACCGTTAACTTGGACGGTCAAACGTATTGACTAACGGTCAACGCGCCATATCATCGCCCAGTCAGCACAGAACACTTAAAAAAATTGATTTTTTCCACCTATTACCATTTATCTCTTTTATTGTTCTTTTTCTTTTTATATTTATTTTTAACTTAATTAAAATAATGATATTATGTGCCATTTTTGAATTCTTCAACAATTTTATGCTGACTGGGCGGTGATGTGGCGCGTTGACCGTTAGTCAACACATTTGATCATCCAAGTTAACGGTCAAACATCGGGTTTGACCAATTTAGTTATTTTGATGTATAATTTGTGCCAAGATGTTATAGATCGAAAAGATTGGCCATGATTTTTATTTTGATCAAAGTTCAGGCCATACAAATTTATTAACCCTTATAATTTGGTGGAGCATCGACCAAAGTATGAGCCATCCCTTTTATGAGTCTCGAATGGATTAAATTGTCAGGAACAAGCTTTTTCAAATTTTTAGAATTGAAATTATTTTTCAAATTGAAAAGTAAAATTACAGATAATATTATTCTGACTGATACGACAAACACGTGTGAGCCAAAAATCATAATCTATGCATTGTGGTTAATGCATGTATTGTAATGTACATTTAATTTAGGAAAAATAATGTAATGTACTTTACATTGTTTGGTTTTGGTGATAGTTCTTTTAGTATTCAACATGTTATATTATTTTTTGTGAGAAATATCACTTTTGCCCTTGCTTTTATGAGACCATATATATATAACTAGGGTTATACTTGGACTAAAAAAGGAACCAAACAATCTACTCAAACACAATCTCAACAATCTCAAGTTTAGTAGAAATAGTATTATCACTCATTTTGAGTTATAGTTTCTATCACATCAAGCAAACAATGCATGTATTGTTTATAGGCTCAATAATATTATATGATTTTTATTTAATTACTATTTAAGAATTATTATCTCAGTAATTAAATATATTTGAGCATATTTATATGTATTTATGAACATAATTTAATTATTTTTTATTTAATATTTATTTATGTGTCTGAATATTTTATTATAATAAATTATAATTTTATTTTCTAATAATATAATTCACTATTTGCACCCTTAATTTTTCATTTCAAACATCATTTTTGCTTCGATTACGCCACTTACTACAATTTACACCTGAACTTGCAGTCTTCTCTTTTTTTTTTTTGAGAAAAAATGAATTATCAACCGAAGATTATACTATGTACTCAAAATCGAGGAGTTACCGTCTCTCAACAAATTGGGGTTACCTTAATAAGTTGGTCTAATGATAATGTGAGAATAAGAAAATTCACCACACAGGAGGGTTACCTTAATAAGTTGGTCTAATGATAATGTGAGAATAAGAAAATTCACCACATAGGGAGTTCGAAACTTTGCATCAACAATCAACAAAAAATAATTGAGAAGGTACTATAGCTAGAAAATAGTTATGGATAAATGTTGTAATAATTTACTTGAGGATTTTGGAAATATATTTAAGTCGAAGGTGGTTAAACTTTGACATAGACAACAACGGATTGAAATTCTGGAAATATACCATCATATCATCATCTAATGCTTCTTTTTCAATTTTCATTCATGAGACTGAACCCCAAATAATTGCAATGCAGGGGCGGCGGCTGTGACCGAGAGGGTCTACCTTATATATGTCGTTCTCCTTTCTTTTGTCTTGTCATGACCCCAAGCTCGACAAATTAACCAACCGTCCATTTCTTCAAGTTGTCCATTTTGCAGTCTAGCTAGCCTCGGGACATTGATATATTTGTTTTATGTAAGAAGTGTGAAAGAGGATAGTAAGTTGAATTTGAGTTTGACGTTTAAAAGTACGAAAACTATTTTTCGATATTGGATTTATCATATTTATGATCTAAATGAGTGAAAAAAATACATATATAGGCTAAATCCAGGGATTTTTCCAATAATAGCACCTATTAATTTTTTTTTACAAAAAATAGCATCTAGCCCACAACATTTACAAAAATAGCACCATTTTTATCAAACCGCACCTCCAAGGTGCGTTTTATAACTAAACTGCACTCTCCAGGTGTGTTTTATAACTAAACCGCACCCTCCAGGTGCATTTTATGTATAAACCGCATCTTGGAGGTGCGTTTTAGTCCACGTCAGACTGGAAATCGCACCTTGGAGGTGCGGTCTGTGTTTGGTGGGCAGCGACCTTGGAGACCGCAGGATGAGGAAGCGATCTAGTGGCGGACCGCTTGCCACCTCAGCGATCCTTGCCACAGATCGAAGACCGCAGCGCCAGGGAGCGGTCAAGCTTCGGGAAATGTAAACCACCTCGGTAGGGTGCGGTTTGACCTGGGAAAAAATTACCAGACCGCCCCTGGAGGGTGCGGTCTGATGGGTATAAATACCCCCTCCCCCCTCTCATTTTTCAACACCACAACCATTCTCCATTCTCTCTCTCTAGAATTAGTCTCTCGAACCCCTCCCCTCCCCTCCCAAAAGTCTAGGAAATAGTGGTCTGTTGGTTGCAGCTATGTCCGATTTGCCATCAGAAAACATTTCTTTGTTTTTTTCCCTCAAAACTCGCCGAATTTCTGTCCGACTTTCGCGAGAAAATGGACGAGTGGTTCCAAGGAGAGGGAGTTTATTATGATGAATTTCAAGCGGTACGTACTCATTATTTTGGTCAATTTTTGTTTTTGTTATAAGGTTTTTAATTAATCTATGTACTAACCTTGTTGTTATTCTCTCGTAGGTTGGAGACGACGTGAATATATACAACCAACGGTACTATT